GTTGGGGAAGAAGGGGGGGGGTGTGGGGGGGGGGGGGGGGGGGGGGGGAGTAAATCTAAAATAGTGCTTCCTCCCCTTTGTAGGCAGTTGAGTGAGTGTGTGTAGGTGTGCGGGTCAGGTGACAGTAAGGGACGGCACTAAGACTGTTTGAGGCGTTTGCGAGGGGGGCCCAGGAAAGGGCACTGGGCGGAGGCCAGGGAGCGGTATGCCTCAGCTACCAGGTGAGGATGGGACGCCACCATTGACTTCCACCCTGAGGTCTCCATCACATCGGACGCATGGCTGAGAGGGAGAGAGAGAAAGAAAGAGACAAATTGAGAGTACAATCCTCTTAGCTGAGCTCAGCACCCCAAGGGCACTCGCACTGCACTATCACGCACACCAAAAAATGGCCTTTAACGACATTTACCCGGAGTGTGTTTATGTGTGAGAGAGACGCTGACCTCCCCCTAACCCCACTATGCTGTTGCCCCCAAACACTTAGCATTAATTGCAGCACTTGCTGGCAGTGTCAAGAGCAGGCCTTGCGGGCACATGCCCGTTCCACTTTACCCAATGCAAAAGGTCACCGCGCGGTCAGCCATCCACAAAGAACAGGTTACAAACACAGGCTTTCCAAAATAACTTGGAAGTAAAAACAGCTTTTATATGTATAAAAAAGCCTTGTGTTTGTAAATGTGTCAGTGGAAAAGAGAGAGGAAAATATCTAAAATGATCAAGTTCATATGAAAGTGCTTGCTCAAGATTTATCCATTGAACTGGTATAATGCAATATTTTTGGGACTCAAACCCAAGTCTCTCTAAAAATGCACCAATACTTTTATCAATACAATTATGGTTGGTCCTAATAATCTGATAATCATTTTCATTATTATATAATTGTATATTAGTTTTGGCTAAGCTGTAAATGGCTAACACTAAAATTTTTTTTATTTTTTGTCTAAATTTAATAATAAACACTGAAAACAAACAAAAAAATTTAGACATTTTAGGCATTATAAAATTATAATGTACAGTATAAAAATACATTCATTTTGAGAAAAGATTATATTTATTAAATTTGTGTTTTTAAAGATGAACAGTAAGTGGGGTAGGATGACAGCAGAAGTAATAAAATTTTTAAATGGAAACGAGCATGCACTATTAAATATTTAATATCAAAACCAATACATTTGAAAAAACAAAATAGACTATAAAAATAATTTAAAAAAATTATAAAACTATAAAAAATTGTTTACAGAAGTTATGTATTGTCGTTTCTGGTTTTGTCTCTCAATTTTTGTGAAGAGGAACAGCAACAATTATGCTTTTATAATATACAGTGGGGAAAATAACTATTTAGTCAGCCACCAATTGTGCAAGTTCTCCCACTTAAAAAGATGAGAGGCCTGTAATTTTCATCATAGGTATACCTCAACTATGAGAGACAAAATGAGAAAAAAAATCCAGAAAATCACATTGTAGGATTTTTAAAGAATTTATTTGCAAATTATGGTGGAAAATAAGTATTTGGTCAATATTCTTTTTACAAACAAGATTATGTACTGTATGACATTTCTTCTATGGAACCAAAACCCTGTAAGCTCTAAGTTGGACATGCTTTTATTTAAATTAAAAAGTGACTCATTTGTATGTGGAACTGAAAAATATGGTAGGAGTCGTTCGTTCTTGAATCTGACTACAATGGCCATGCTGTATGTTTGTTGCAGTGTTCAAAAAGCAAGGACAACTCAACAGAAAACTTCTCTATTTTCATTGTATTGTTTTGACTTTATTAATTTGCGAAATTTCCCTTTCTTTTTTTCTGAGCAGTGGGGATGCTCCCGCTGGCAGTCATTGTCCTGTGATGACTGGACAGAGTCTGGCGCTGTGGGAAAACTGCTGCACTCTGACACTAGACTCCTACGTGCGGCAATAAAACCATTTGAGAAGAGAAAGACGAGCACATAAACCAATAACATAAGCAGCAAACATGAATGCAGGAAAAGAAGGGCAGAGAGGACGAATCATTTTGGGAGGGGGTGCTGGTGTGCATGTTTATTTTCTGTGTTGCCCTTGTTATTGATCTCCCCTGTCTCCGCTGTTGTTGTGGCGGTGGGTGTTTTGTATAGAGATGGGGAGAGAGAGAGCTGAAATGAGATGGCCACAGTCCAGTTTCACACCAGCCAAGTTACTGCCATCCACGAAATGAACTCAAAATTACACCATCCAATAAAGCTGCTGCAAAGAGAGACTGAACAAGCTAGTAAAATAAAATAAAATAAAAAATCGACAAAATAGAGCATGAAAGATAAGTGTGCAGAGAACAGAGGGGGGGGCTGACAAAGTGGAGACAACAAGCGAAGATGATGCAGAAAAGTCAAAAAGCATTTGGTTTCTATTCTAAGACTGAAAGGAGCTGGTTAATTATCACCAGCCTGCAAAATTACATCCATCATAGATATCTAACAAATTACTATTTTATTATTCTTTTTAAATGATTTATATGATATATATATATATATATATATATATCTCAACATTATTTGATTTTTTCCCCCCTGAACTACTAAGCCTGACAGGAGTAGCACTCACTAGTTGATGAAGTCGACAGCCTGCGTCTTGAGCTGGTCAGCGCTGTGCAGGTCGGCCAAGATCAGAATCTCTGCTGCGTTTTCCACAATTACATCCATCATAGATATCTAACAAATTACTATTTTATTATTCTTTTTAAATGATTTATATGATATATATATATATATATCTCAACATTATTTGATTTTTTCCCCCCTGAACTACTAAGCCTGACAGGAGTAGCACTCACTAGTTGATGAAGTCGACAGCCTGCGTCTTGAGCTGGTCAGCGCTGTGCAGGTCGGCCAAGATCAGAATCTCTGCTGCGTTTTCCACAGACAGACTGGTGCACAAAGCATCTTCACACATCACCTTCAGTCGCTCCAGAGCATACTAAAGACAGAGTTGCACTTCAATAAAAATGTGTCTGTGAGCTTGTGTTGTTAACACAACGCATGTACTGCATTGCTATTGGCAGATATTGGCTCCGTTTTAATATGCGATTATGATTTTTGCTAACTGCTGAAGCTTACGACACGATGCACATTCTGGTCATTTTTTGTTGGTGTGTCTGCCAAGAAAATAATGTGATGTGAATGCAGGATTGAGAAGACAAAATGAAATATGTTGTCATTGTGACATTTAATAAACTTGTTTTTGTCCTCAGATGAGAAGAAATGCTGTTTGGCATGCATTCAGCTAAATGTGGTGTTTGTGTGCGAGTGCCATTACTCACCTTGTCAGCAGCAGCGAGCAGGTCATCAGCCATCTTGTCCAGGTTGGGTGCTTTGCCAGTGTAGATGAAGAACATCATCTCTTTAAAGACCTCAGCCTCCACGTCGTTTATCTCAACTCGGTTCTAGACAGCAAATCACAGCAGAACCCTGTCACCACACAGTCTCATAGAACCAGAATCAGGTCAGAAAACACCCAAGACTCCTCAACTTCTACAGACTCTTTACACGTGTTAATCAGCAATGTTTGATCTAAAATGCAGAGCCAAACTATGATTTGAACTTGATGGATAAACCAAAAGTATTATTATTATTAAAATAATACAATCATTTTTTGATATTGTAATTGTAATTAAATAACAACAATAATAATAGCAACAATAAATAATAATAATAATTATTATTATTAGTATTATTATTATATGTTTTTGGTATTTTTATTATATAATATAATGTATAAATAAAATAAAATAATATAATAATAGGTCATTACTGTAATTCTTTAATAATGGTTGTTGTTATTAAAATAATATATAATATGTTGTTAATGTTATTATTGTATTATTAATAGTAGTATCAACAACTATTATTAAATAATATAATAATGAATAAATAAAATATAAATAACAATGGGTCATTATTGTAATTCTTTAATAATTGTTGTTGTTATTAAAATATGTTGATAATGTTATTATTGTATTAATAATAGTAGTATCAATAATTATAAAAATATAATCAACAACAACAACAATAATAATAATAATAAAATATCCATTTATATGCCAAGTAGTGGAATACAGTATTATTCACTAAATTTTCTGTTGCTAAACTTGGCCTCAAGCTTGCAGCTGATTGGTCTGAGATTAGTGGGCATTGTGAGGTGCAGCCTAGACGCTCCCAGTGTGAAGATGTCATGGTGCAATGTGACAGCAACCACTTCAACGTAGAGACAGTGTTAAGCCCAACGTATACATTGGCTATCCGCGTTCCACGACGGTCCGCGCACTGTTCCCGTGATGCCATTTTCATAATCAGAAGTGTCCGTCCGCGGACGTCCAATTTTATTAGTTGGTACTGTGCATGTGTCGAACTCGTCCATGCACACTCATCTTTAAAAGCTGTGCGGACGTGGCTGAGCAGGAGACTGAACTAAACGCAGAAGGTACCTAGACCTTTACAGTTAGTCTTCTCCAGCTTCTCATTCAAACAATGTAGAATTTATTCAACTCTGTCATTGCACCATAGTCAACTGGCTGTGCTTTGGGGGCTTTAAAATGTGATGTAATTGGACCTGACGCAGTTCAGGCGGTTGAAACTGTTGTAAAAGCATAAAGCGTAATTGTGTCGGAGTCTGGCCTTTCCTCTCATGAGCTGCTGAGGTGTCCCTTGAGCACCCTACACCAAACTCACACGACCACTGACCTCCACCGTATGAGCGCATATGCGCACACAAAAGGACATAGTCACTCAAAAAAGCAAATTAATGTACAGCTCAGAAAGCCCCATTCCCTTTCTGTTCCTGCCCTAATCAATGTTCCGAAATGAACACTGCCAGAGTTTCTCTCTTCCGCCCAAGGCTGCTGGAGCACAAGCTCTTTGTTGATTGTCGTGCTGGTAACAAAGGCTTTTCCGTCCCAGCCCGTCCATCACAGTTAAACCAATTAATGCAGCAACTGTTAGGAACTCCACCCCACCCACAGACACAGGAACACGGCAAGGTCAAATCAAAAAGTTCACTCAAAAGCAAACAGAACTATTTATTAAAGGCTATTACAGTAAATAAAAGTCTGTGTAGCCTAAAGGTGCATTAACAGTCACAGGCTTTCTTCACAAAGTTTGACCTCCCTCCCCGTACATATTGCAGATTTTGCTATGAACTGTGACACTCTTGTTTCATCAATGAGAATACCATCACAAAAACTAGTTAAAAATGTACCTAACATTTAAGAGGCTAAGTCACCAAGACAGAGAAGAGGCTTGTGGTGATGCTTTTGCTTATTCAATTCTATGACCAAAACTACAAAGCTACAGGTCACCAAACATGAAAATTCACTCATTATTTTCAAGAAATTAATAGTTTTATTCAGCAAGGACGCATTAAGCGACAGTAAACATTTATAATGTTGCAAAATATTACTATTTTAAATAAATCCCGCTCTTTTAAACGTTCTATTCAAAGAATCCTGAAAAATGATCAAAGTTTCCACAAAAGTATTAAGAAACATAAGTGTTTTCAACATTAGTACTTAAGCACCAAAATCAGCATATTAGACTGATTTCTGAAGGACCATGTGACACAGGCGTAAAATCCAGCTTTGCATCACAGGAATAAACACCATTTGAAAATATATTCAATTAGAAAATAGTTTTTTAAATTGTAATTATATTTCACAATATTAGTTTTTCAAATAAATTCAACCTTGATGAGCATAAGAGAGTCTTTCAAATCTATTTTTAAAAAATCTTACTGATTTCAAACAGTGGTGTATTTGATTTTTGATTTTTTTTTGGTCCATATAACGAAAGTCAAAGGGGTTCAATGTTATTTGTTATTTTGGTTCTCAGTGACTTTTACTGTATGGACAAAAACAGTTGAAATATTGTTCCAAAGAAGAAAGCAAGTCAAACAGGTTTGGAATGACATGAGGGTGAATAAATAACTTTTTTATTTTATTTTATTTTTTTAAGTTAACTATTCTTTTGACATGATGTCTGCTATGGATGCTACGCAAAAGAATAATACAGAGTTTTCGCAGTACCTAAACATCTCCACATCACCCAAAAAAAAAAAAAAAAAAAAAGGGGGAAAAAAAACATGTGGACATCAAAAGTACTCCGGTCCACACCAGAAGTTCCAGTGTGAAAAGTCACTGAAATATCCAGAGAAGTTCAGGAGCAGATATTCAGGAGTCTTTTCTTTAGATGTAACGGGCAACTCATCGGTTTACTCTCTCTCTCTGATGAGATATTTTCTCTCATTCTCTTTAGATTTTCTCTATTGCAGCATCAAATCCATCAATATTCTACAGACATCGCAGCCAAATCACTGAGCCCCAGTAATCATCTAAACCTGACAAACACGCACTGACACATACATGCAGCCACATTCGCTTTCACATGTGCCTATGCACAAACTGAGCCCCAGATCCCATCATTCATCTATTAAGCGCACACACGCTCTTCTCAACACGAAACTCCGTCTCACACATTGCATGGATCTTCAGAAAGCTAATAAGCCGCACAACTAAAAGGAGCAACAGGAAATCTCACTGCTCCACAAACCCCAAACGCAAGCACATCCTGTCCCAAAAAACAGTGCATGATGAAACTCTGGGAAAGGGGGGATACAACACGAGGAGAGAGACAGAGGAATACTGGATCAGCAGATGGTGAAACATGGGAATATCACAGATGATGATAAGAGGAAGAACAGGAAGTGTGTTAGGGGAAGTGTAAGGGGCAATTAGTGCAAATAAGTGTAATTTTAGTATTATTTATATACTACTGGAGTTCTTAATATTTTGAATTAGCTTTAATTTTTTGATTTTCAATGTGCCTTTACCATAATTTTTTAGATTAAATTTATTTTAATTTCAGTTCTATTAGGTTTAATTTTTTTTAGTAAATTGTAGTATTTCATAGCAAACTCATTTTTTGTTAGTTGCTAATGCAATATTTTGATTCATGTTTTTTATATAATATTTCTATTTTATTATTTATTTCAGCTATATTTTAATTAACAAAATAACGATTTTAACCGTTATTACTTAACAACACTGCTGCAAATATATAAAATATATTCCACTAATTCAACTTTTTTTTGTAGTTAACACATTCAGTTCCTTTTATGGTGCAAGAATTGGGTTCATTACTTAGATTACATTATACAAATGAATGTCAAATTAAATGAATAAATGGTAAGAAACATTTCATTAATTGCAAGTGTTAACTTTGACAGTCCTAAAAACAACAATGTCTTCAGTCATCATTTAAATAGACATGTGTAGTCCTCCCGATTAACACAGGCAATCTTTAACGCCTCTATGAACAAACTCCACAGCTCTGATCTATATCAGACCTAACATGACTGCCATATTAAAAAGCCATGCAAGAAAAATGGCAAATAGTGATTTACGATCAGCTATTGAGAACAAGCAGGAAGATGGTACAGTTGAGCAACTCTGTAAATGCGGAGGTATTAGACCACACACACACACACACACACAGCTGGACTGAAAATTAGGCCGCTGATAGTTAGGATGGATTTGAGTCCTACTGGGAGATAACTAATATACTTAGAAACTAGTAAACACTGCAGAAATGAGACATCAGGAAAACACTAGCACGAAAAAAAGCAAGCTGTGCATGAACAAATGTGAGGGCCTCTTTGATTGTGACGGACTAAAAGGATAAGCTTCTGAAGTATAATGACACAAAATGTGAGATAGAAGAGAAGGAAAATAAAATAAATAAACAGGCTCACCTTTTTACTCTCCTCCATCTCATGTTCAAACATAGCGCTGAATACTGGGGAACGTGCTGAGGAAGTGAAAGAGAAGACTTTTTAATGCACAACAAAAACTTCTGATAAAAAATAACATCTGCTAATTATAACAGCGTGAAACAGTGACAGGGCACTTTTTCAGCAGCCTTGGTTGCCCAAGTATTTTTCCCATTCATGTTCTCTGAAGGAAATTTCAAACAGTTTCCTCGAAAAAGAGTTCATGCCATGAACCAAATCAACAAGCTCTGAGATGAATCACAACATTACAAATTTTGATATGAAAAACCTGAAAAAGAAAGCTACAATATGGTCTACTATTTTATATCAGGAAATGTGCTGCTTTTATGGAGCTAGGCAAAAGACGTAATCAGTTCAATATATTTGTACAGTGCTTTTTTTGTTAAATCATAAGCGGGATGGTGAACAAAGATTCTGAGGAAATGTTTCAGTCATCAGCATCAAAAAACAAAACGTCTAACAGTGGTTCCTCAGACAATTTGTGCCGTGGTGCAATTGCCGATGCTTTTGGCTGATTAACCCAGGGGATGATGGCGGCTCAGACCTTCCTCTCTCTGTTAAGTCTGGATATGGAGTCAGATCTGTCTATGGCAACTTTAACTTGTTTAAAGATGTGTGTGAAGTCTGGCACATTCTCTCCCTCACACACGGTCTAATCACAGCTCAGACACCAGCCGATCAGCTCCGTCTCCACGGCGATTAATGAGCACTACCAGGTACGGCCAGATAACGAGGACCCCGCCTCACCACGAGTGACAGCGGGAGAGAGAGAAGCTGCTTCTGAAACCTGAAAAATCCTGCCCTTTCAGGCAGGATACATCACTAGGAAGGTACTTAAATGTTAACTAACATCATGTCTAAGATACCTCTGTCTGTTCGGTTTTTGAAGGAAGCACAGATGCTTCTTTCACTGCCTATGATATCCCACAATCCTGCGCGAGTGGGTCGGTAGTTCTGTGTCTGACAGAGCTCACTGTTGAGCTCACTTCTCACCGTCGAAAACAGTGAAAGTTTATACATTTACATTTTTAACTTATGATTGATTCATTTTTAACAAGATATCAGCAGTGTAGTCATTAAATATTCACTTGGTTATCTCTCAAGCTCACATGAATTTGTTCTTGAAATATAAAAACAGATTCCTTATGAGGTGCCTTAGCTGTCTGCTAAGTGACTGACTGACTGAGCAATAAGACAGCCGTCTTCGGGTTTCAACATCGCCACAGAGAATTAGGACAGAGGGAGATTTGTTTAGTGACCAGACTTCAACAACTTCATAAATACACAAATAAACTTGTCAATGGCTATTTATTTTTATTTTTTGGAAACGTGAATTTTGTGTAAAATAAGCGATAGTTCACCCAAATATGAAAATTCTGTCAATTATTACTCACCTCATCTTCGTTCATCTTCGGAACACAAACTAAAGGGGTCATGAACTGAGAAACCAAAATTCCCTTGATCTTTTGACTTATAAGAGATCATTGTACTATTAAAACTATCCTGTAAGTTTCAGAACTCAAAATGTTGTTGTTAGTTTAAAAACAGCTTATATTGAAGGCAGTCTGTCAAAGACTGTTCTACTCTATGATGTAATAGTGTGGATAAGCACCGCCAACCAATTCAAGCATGTAGTGTAAATAACGATAGAGGCGTGCAGGTCTACGCAGAAACCAAATGATAAAGATGCTCTGAAGACAAGACACTATGCAGTGCCAAGTTTTGGAAAAACAGTGCTTGCATTACCTTCCTTCTGATCCCAATTTTAGGAAAGAATGAATGAACTTTATTTTTAATGAAGATCCAGACTGCGTCAGTAAGAACTTGGTCCTTTGTTCACTTCATTTTACCGCAGATTTGTTTACAAACAAGGCATAATTCGATGCAGGATTTTCAGAAAGATTGAAACTAAAAGATGATGCAGTGCTGACTATATTGGATCCGATGTGGCAACACACAAGTGTGAGAAACTGTTTTTATTACATGATCACCATTTCTTTGTCTCTTCTTACAGATCGTTTTATATATTTTTTTTTTTTAGAGTTATGCAATTTCAACGGAAATCACAGGATGTAGGCTGTCAAACAAACACAACTATTAGCCAATCATAGCAGTGGGCGTCTACTTCTGAGTCTACAATCTGCCACGCCTATTCAAACAGAGCGTTCTGATTAGGGGGTCAAATCCAAGACAGAAAATAGCTTGTTTCTTATAACTTATGTTTTTTTGATGTAAAAATCTTGATAACATTATAAGTGGACCTTAGAGAACAGTACAAAATAAAAAGCAACGGCAGTTCTTAACCCCTTTAAGATATTTTTAATGAAATTCGAGAGCTTTCTGACCCTGCATAGACAGCAAACCAACTGAAATATTTCCAGTCCCAGAAACATAGTAAGGACATTGTTAAGCAGCACCACATGCATGCATCGTGTTACTCTCATGAATGGTGGCGGACAGTGACGCGGAGGAGAAGAGTTATTGAATAAATTCATTATTTTTGTTTCCTTTGCACACAAAAATATTCTTGTAGCTTTCCAAATTTCGGTTGAACCACTGATGTCACATGGACTATTTTAAAGCAGCACTATGTAACTTTTTCTGTGTTCAAAATTTGCAAAATGTATATAATGAGCGAGTACATCATGAATTCATCTTCCAAACCGCGAATTTGTCTTATTCCAAATCACTACGGTACACTTATAATAAGTACTTATATTTGGACTATTGTAGCCTGGTCGGGTCGTCACCACTGCGGAGTAACACATACCTACGTGAATCGCCATAGACATACACTTAGAGAAGTAGCTCCGGTTGGAATGTTCTTCCGTGGGATGTGTGCAGTTCTGTTTATTAACCGCTAGAGTGCCAAAAGTTACATAGTGCTGCTTTAACAATGTCCTTACTATGTTTCTGGGCCTTGAACGTGTCAGTTACATTGCTGTCTATACAGGGTCAGAAAGCTCCCGGATTTCATCAAAAAATATCTTAATTTGTGTTCTGAAGACGAATAAAGGTCTTACGGGTTTGGAACGACGAGTAAACTAAAACATTTAAAAATCTTTTAATGAATTAAAATAATGCTGAAATAAATTTTTAAAAAACCCCACTTATTTCAGGTAGTTGCTAAGGCAAGATTTCTTTTTTTTTTTTTTTTTTTTCTAAAATTACTAAAATTTTTATAAAAAAAAAAATTAAATATAAATATATTGCCAAAAGTTACATAGTGCTGCTTTAACAATGTCCTTACTATGTTTCTGGGCCTTGAACGTGTCAGTTACATTGCTGTCTATACAGGGTCAGAAAGCTCCCGGATTTCATCAAAAAATATCTTAATTTGTGTTCTGAAGACGAATAAAGGTCTTACGGGTTTGGAACGACGAGTAAACTAAAACATTTAAAAATCTTTTAATGAATTAAAATAATGCTGAAATAAATTTTTAAAAAACCCCCCTTATTTCAGGTAGTTGCTAAGGCAAGATTTCTTTTTTTTTTTTTTTTTATTCTACAATTACTAAAATTTTTATAAAAAAGAAAATTAAATATAAATATATAAAAAAAAAAAGGGAAAAAAATTACAAAAGCTCATGAAAATGTTGACATTACTCATCTGCAATTATTTTCTTTCAAAAATCTTAGCATATGTGAATCTCTAAAAAAGTTCACGTAAGTGTGCGTGTTTCCCACATTACCTGCCAGTATGGCTTTGTGTGCCTGGAACTCCTGCCCGGCGACACACAGTGAGCAGTCCGTGAATCTGGAATGTTCCCACAGTCCACCCAGTTCATCTGCCAGCCGGCAGTCAGGAACCTTCACCATGTTCATGGTGTTCTGACCCGAGATGTTCACAGAGTCCTGCACCACACTCACCTAAACACACAAAAACAAAATGCAAAACCAAATTAGTGCTGGCCATTACAAATGTGTGAAATAGTGATAAATAAAAAATACATATAATAAAATAAAATAGATGCACATTTGTGTTGTTATATTATTACTAAATTACATATGGATTATCTCAGCCATTAGCCACTCTGCTTAAACACACACAAACACACACACACACAAAGCCAAACACTATTTTAAAGACACCAGATTCATGTGTGCTGGGTTAACTTATGTTTATTATAAAGACACATTTAAGGACATCCATATGTCAGCCAATATGGTAGATCCCGATTCCAGTGGCTCAGGGGGGACACTACAACGACTGTTCAACAAGGGCAGCCGTCTAGTTATCTCTTAATTTACACAAATTGCCTCAATTTGTTACTGGTCTCTGTGTGTGAGCGTGCGTATGTGTGTGTGGCGGGCCACCATGCTGACTTAGCCACCTGTTCCCGCAGACATAAGCAGGTTCATTTATCTCACTCCAGGAGTCACACACACACACGCTGAAATGCCACAGGTTCTCACACCAAGTTAATTGCCATATAAGGCACATTTCTTTAATGAGCAAAACTCCACACAGACAAACCTCAAGACTGAGGGGGTTTCAAAACCATGTGAGATGCCTATTACAGCATCATGAGACTGTACTGAACATTCACTTCAGATTTGAAAAGTCTGTAAATGTAATGAAAGAAAACTGGACATTTCTCTGCAAAATGACCCCATAATGCTCAGAGGGCAAGAGTTTGAGGTAAAATCAGGAGCCGACAAGAGTGAAATGACAAAAAATAAAAGTAAAAAGGAGTGAGAATGAGACGGAGATGGATAGAGATGGAGGAGAGCGAGTATGACACAGGAAGAGGGTAAAAGAGCACCACAAACAGGAAATTAAATGTCAAGGACCCTTGTATGTTCTTAATGGAGGAGCAGACTTTCCCCTGAAGGAAAACAGGGAAGACAGCAGACGAGAAGGAGAGGGACAAACAAGGAAAGAGGACGAGAAAACGAGCAAGATGAGGACAGGCTGGGGAGCAAAAAAAAAATATATATAACCATTTCCTTTTCATCCTTTCTGCTGTACATAAACCTAAAACTAACAAGTTGTTATGGGCATCACAACACAAATTCTTCACAAAAACACTGCAATACCAGCAAAACAACAGAAACAACCACCAAAACGCCTGCACTAACATCACAACAACAAAAAACACCATTAAAACATCTGAACTAAAGACACAAGGATAGAAAACCCCTTCCTATTAAGCAGCATTCTAGAGCTGTCACGATTTCTTGATTCAATTCTAGTACTCAATTTAAAAAAAAATCCTTGATTGCATTTTATGTGTCGAGTAACGGAAGTGGCACATTCCACGGACGAGAATCCACGAAACGCATTATTACCATTTTTTCAAGGCTGCATGATATATTAAGCCATTTAAAAATCATAATAAAGCATAATGCTATTGCAAAATCACAAATGCTACGATTCAATTAAATAAATTCAATTCAAAATGAAACTTTAAACCCTCGCTTTGAGTTTACACATTTTGATGTCCACATATTCAAGAAATTACAGTATGCTGTAGCATTTCTGTCGTAAAAAAATGGCCAAATATTAAAGAATAAGTGGATATTAAATTAACAATGTTGTTTAGTCAATATTAAACAAGGATTCGTTTGCGCAGTAAAGTGTAAAAAAAAAACTGTCAGTCCGTTGGCGCCCTCTGCAGGCATTTGTTATAATGCATAATGTACATTAGCGCTATTGTTCATAATACTTATGTATTTTTGTCTTATTGCTATTATATATGTATGTTGAGTAATTTTAAAGGCTATTGTTCACGTAGGTCTATTTAAAAAAAAAAAAAAAAAAAAGATTATCTGATTACTCGATTAATCGTCAGAACAATCTACCGATTACTTAATTACCAAAATAATTGTGAAGGACAACCCTACAGTATTCATAGAGCTTCAATAAAAATACAAATTTATTAATTTCAAATTAATATGAAACAGGGTCAAAAAGGCCTTATGATAATGTTGTAGTGTCATGATTCACAACAAATAACATGGCCCAAATCTTATGATTATTATTGAAGATTCAAGAGTTAAACGTTTTTGAAGATTTTTATTACGGATGCACCGAATGTGCGGCAACTGAAATTATTCCGTTTTTTTCAGTTGCCGAACATTCGGTGAATAAGCGAAAAGACCGAATAAATTGTACCGAACAATGATGTGGTGCGATCAAATAGAGGCACTCACTAATGTAGCAAACATGTCAGCAGTGTGGAAGCATTATAAGCACTGACAGCGAGAGACTCTTTAGTACCGAATCGCATGTCTCCGATGTTGCTGGTTACTGTATGATGATTGAAATCGCGAAATGGCCTCAAACAATTAGTAAATAAACTGCAGAACGTTGTTTTCTAATACACACACGAATTGCATGTATTCAAACAGCGCTGTTCGAGCTTGCGGCGCTATCTGCTTGTTAGTCAGGGTTCAAAGTCCAAAGCGCAAGGAAACCTGCGCTGAAACTGTATTACTCGTCAGCTGCTATTTTTATGCATTTTTGAAATGAAATAAGACAACAATGATAATAATTACAACAGCTCTATAAATAAATTATAACACACACATAGTGTTAGTGTAAAATAATTATCTTCTGCTCGGCAAGGCTGCATTTATTTGTACAGTAAAAAGTACATATAACTGATTCAAGAAGTGGGTCTCGAAAATGGCCAAAAAATATTATTGGCCATAACTTATTAATTTGAATTTAAATTGTGCTTTGTTGGTATAGTGTCTGCTAGAACGTAACAAATATTCAGTGTTAAGTATATATTTATAAATTGTTGTTTTGTAAATAATTTTTATATTTTTTTTTATTTTGAAAAGCTAGACAAAACAGTAAAAAGCACATTTTGGCCATTTAATTTATGCAATGGTGGAAAAAAATTGGCAAAATATATGGATACAAAATGCGAAAAAAACGTGTTCGGTATTCGTCCTTCGGTCCAGTGTTTCATTATGTTCGGCTTCGGCCAAGAATTAGCTGCTGAATAAGTCACTGGAGTTATGCCTATCTGTCTGTTTACAAACACAAGACTTTATCTTCAGCCTCAGAAATAGGACGGATCACTACTTTAAAGTCAAGCACAACACTTTAATGAGCAGTGCAAGATGGACACTAGAGCAGCTCTGTGCTGTCTGGACTCAAGTATGACTGAACTGCTTATTGTGTGTAAATCTAAACACAGCAACTAATGAGGGAGGAGGGTGTAAACTAGTGCATGTACGCTACTCTTCCACTGAACTTGATTAATGAACATGCGACACACACTCAAACTCGCTGAGTGAAACCCATGTGAGGACATTCATCACTCACTCATTAGTGGCACGCAAAACTGAAAAAGGCAGAGACAAGATGGGAAAAAAAGGGAGGAACAATAAATGCAGGTGACTTCCTGCATCTATAAATACACACTTCAGGACAGCGGCAGTCCTGACTACTAGCGCTGTATCAGACTCATGCTAATGAGCTTGTCCAGGTCATAATGAATTCATTGATTAATCAAACCAAGCAGTGCGTAATTTACACACACTTTAATTAGAGAATTACCACACAGTATCTTCTCACTTCAACTCTTAATAACAAACACTCCTCCACTGCACACCAATGCAAAAGACAATTAAGCACAGAATTTCCCACTACCGGACACCATAAACATATTTCTCAAATAAAATACACAGACAGATAATAACAGATAGATTTGAGTCTGTTTGTATTTTATGTATATACATACAAATACAGATCAGACAGACAGACAAGACAGACAGACTGATCAGACAGACAGATAGGCAGACAGACAGACTGATCAGACAGACAGACACTAATGTGTATATCTGATGTCAAAACTATGTGGCCAATTGTATTCATTTCATCCTAAAAAAAAAAAAAAATGCGACCGACAAACCGAGAGGCAAGCTTTATTTGTAAGCAGCTGTGCGTTAGTGTCAGAGAGCTGGTGTTTATACAGTCATTCTGTTTCAGACTACACATACGCTTTTACACGCATCATTTCGACACAAGCTGTTCAAGTCTGGCCCTGACCGCTAACCTCTCTTTTTCTCCTTCACCTGATCTTATTCCTCTCTTTCCCTCCTTCTGACACCAGCATCTGCCTCTCGTCTCACTGAACTGTCTGTGATTATGTATGCGTGTGAGCGGACTCGTCTGCAGAGAGACTACCGACCTCATGCATCCGTGAAAAGGGATTCCTGACTTTGAAAACACCCTTTGTAGAGATGCAAGCACAATGCTGAGGTAAAGATTAATGCATTTTGAGGATCACACCACATCAGTGTGTCACATATAGTGTGAATGTTTACAGGGAAACTTACAAATGTTAAATACTAACATATTCAAATCCTCTTTCACTTTCATTAGGGTAACATGGTTTAGCACTTATACCAATCCCTCGCCTTCCCTCTATCACATTCTCATCGCTGCTGAGCCCTCTGTGTTTTGAGGGTGAAGAGGAACAAAGCAGATGCTGCAGGTACAGAACTTTCCTCTTACAGTAACATTCACCCAGAAAAGAAAATTATCACAATTTCCTTCCTTCATGTCACACCCAAACCTCTGGAACATAGACTACTATCCAAAAATGTGGGCTAATTAAAAAACCAACAATGTCAACACTGATGTTGCTTCTACTATTATTATCATTATGATTTTTTTTTTTTCGTTTTTAACTGATTGTATTACATATGCTATTCAACTATTATATTATCATATTATATATATATAGCTATTATATTTGATAAGAGTTGTTTATCATTTTTGTCCTATTATTGGTTTTGATTGTTTGTGGGGTTTTTTCTTTCATTTAGCTTCAGGCTTAATAATATCTAATAATAATAATAGCCTTCCAGCTAACTTGGGTAAATTTACATTCATGAATGTTGATTAATGTACACTTTCCCTTTCTGAAATGAAAAATGAATTAAATTAATTAATATATTTTTTTTAATTAATATTCAGAAATTATGCATTAAATACTGTATATGTAAATCTTTACTGTTATCAAATGTGAATAATGTTACAAATGTCTATTAAAAATGCTGTTCTTTTAAAGAATCCTGGGGAAAAAAATCATGACCAAATGTTTCTACAAAAATATTAAGCAGTACAACCGTTTCCAACACAGATAACAAATCAGCATATTAGAATGATTTCTGAAGTATCATGTGACACTGACAAATGGAGTAATGATGCTGAAAAATCTGTTTGGCCATCACAAAAATAAATTACATTACTTAATTACATTAAACTAGAAAACTTATTTAAAATTGTAATAATGTTTCACATTATTACTGCTTTTACGGTCTTTTTCATCAAACAAATGCTGCCCTGGTGAGCATAAGAGATGCTTCTTTCAAAATAATTAAAAAAATCTTCGACTCCAAACTTTTGAAAGGTGAAATTTTTGAAGAGTTGTACTGTACTGTATTTGCTCTTTTTGATGCAACAAATGGGGACTGAGACTTCAAACAGGATTCAAGAGCACCATGAAAGTATGAGGGCGAGTAAATAATTTTCATTTTTCAGTAAACTATTCCTTCAACTTGCTACCATTTGTAAACTTCTGTGTGTGTGTGTGTGTGTGTGTGTGTGTGTGTGTATATGTGTGTGCGCGTGTGTGAATGTGTGTGTGTACATACATATCAGCAGCAGATGTTGCAGCCGTAGTGGATCTGAGATATCAGTGTGGCATATGGCTGCACTGAGTGAAAGATGGCTGCTGTCAGATGGAGAGAGAGAAGTGTAGAGCTCATTTATTTACTATGAGCAATCTACCTGCTGGAGGATGGAGGTGGAGCGAGGGAGCGATGGAGAGGTGAGAAAGAAAAAGAAAGAGAAAGCAAGTACAGGTGAAGGAGAGAAGACCTGAGAGAGCATATAGCCTACAGAGAAAAACATTATAGAAAGAGAAATGGAACGAGAAAAGGAAAAGGTGGGTCGAACAAGCGAAAATAGCTACTAAAGTCAACGAATCATTAGCGAAAACTGACGCGTTATTAGTCTGATTTCATCAATCTTTAAAATGCAGAGAAAGGAACCAGAATTAGACATACTCTTTTTCCTTCAAAATCCCTCCATCTCACTGGCCACAATGACACCAAGTATTTCACCTCTAATGGGACCCCTCTACTCATTAAAAACAAGAGAGAAAAAGAGAGAGAGGGAAAGGTATGCTCAGGCCCTTACTTAAGGAGCTAACACCTAAAAAAGAAACCGCATAACAGAGGACAGAGAAACAGAGAGAAGCACTTCAAATGTAGGCAAAAAAAAAAAGAGAATGGAATTGTGGGAGGAAAACTGAGTTAAGAATGGTGCAAGAAGAAAGGAAGGAGGAGGCAATGCTGACGTTCTGGGAAATAATAATGAGACACAGGAAGAGAGTGGAGAGGAGGAGGAGGAGAGAGGAGAGGAAAGACTTTGTCCATCTTGATTAGGATGTGTAAAACTACATATTTTCAAGACTAGCAGACTAATTAGTCTAAAGGAAACCCTGTATAATTAAGTTGATATCAGGTTCACCTGACCCCTATCAGACATGTTTCTTTGGGAGTGTTTACATAAGGCACTTTCTTGTGTTTAAAAACAGCTAGACCGTGCGCAGCGGAATAAAACTTGGACCTTGAGACTTTTAAAAAATATATATTTTTAACATCATCTAAACAAAAGTTGTAGCAGTACACTCAAAAAAACAGTGTGTGGCATGACGCAACAACTAAAAGCATCCGTCTGAACGTCTATGACTATAGTACAATGGTTTAAAGCGGGTGATTTTAAAGACCGGTTTGTTAAGAGCTCTTTCAAAACAATGCGATTCTGGGGTCTCGTAACTTTTAACTGTTATAGCTGAAATCGCCCATGATCAATCATATATTTACATTTTTCAAATAAAAAATAACCTTCCCTACTTACACTACCGTTCAAGTTTGAGGTCAGTAAGATAATGAAAACGTTTATTTAGCATGGATGGATTAGTCACTTTTGATCTATTTTCTTTTTTAGCTTTAGCAAAAAAAATCTATCCCCGTTTCCACAAAAATATTTAGAAGCTTTCAACACTGATAACAATAAGCATCACACATCAGCCAATTAGAATGATTTCTGAAAGATCATGTGACCCTAAAGATTAGAGTAATGGCTGCTAAACATTAAGCTTTTTCATCACAGGAATAAATTATTTTAAAATTGAAAACAGTCATTTAACATTATAATAATATTTTTTGATCAAATAAATGCAACCTTGCGGAGCATAAGAGACTTAACTTTCAAAAACAAAAAAGAAAACCTTACAGACGCCAAACTTTTGGAAAGTAGTATATTTTAAACCTACGAAAGGAAGTGCTTATGATTGGTCGTGCATCGCTTACCTCACAGAAGAGTGTCAATTTGTCATCAGGCAGCAGTCCGTTGGCCTCATCCAGGAGGAAGTCTCGCCTTATGAACTTCTTGAACCCCCAGTCTTTTCCTTGTACGAAGCGATACGCCCGCTGGCTCTCTGAACAAAAATACAAAATAAAGCATATTGGCACAAAATTGATTAGGTGGACACAGAACACCGGCCTTGCTCCAGGTCTCTGTAATGGCATGACCTATTAACAAAATCCCATCGAAATAACTTTCACCATGCACTATAATTCAGTCTCAGTATTAGAGGGAGGCAAAAACAATCTATGCAATAAATCTCACACATATCTCAGACTAATCTGAATCCAAATACACCTTAAGAGGCTTTTCTGCCTGTCTGGCAAGGTCTATAATCTTGCTCTCCATTAATTTCTGCATTATAACCAGTCTGATTATTTTGTGATTTTTCACTCTCCTGCAGTTTCTCTGAAAGCACCTTAAACCTACATGAATGCATTTGTATTTTTATAGCTGCTATGTCCAAATCTTCACTCCATCTTGACTGTAGATGTTTCAGCTGACCAGCAGGATTAGGTTCATCTCAATTTCACATAAGCCACACTGAAAGGTATTTTGGGGGAGAAAAAAAAAAAAAGATCTTCACCATTACAATAAGCTTTCTACAATACAAGTGTAGTGACAACAAGCATTTGCAGTTTAATTATCAATTTTAAAAGACACCAGAACAAAAAAAGAGGCAGAATAAAAGGGAGAACAAGGGGAAGGAGAATAAATGGAAGAGAAAGGGAAAAGACAACAAAGACGAAGTAAAAGGAACAAGAATAAGAAGGGAAGAGTCTACAAAAGCAGGAAAAAGAATAAGACAAGAAAGAGAAGAAAATAAGGAACAACAAGAGAAGGATGAAGAACAAGAATACAAGAAAGTGATGCTGAATCAAGACGTGTCGACAAAATCCTACTGGAGGATTTCTCCTTAGTCACTACGTTCATACACAGAAGGGGAGAGAAGAGAAATACATGACAGAGAGTGGGGAAGAGCGAAAAAAGGAGAGATGAATAGATTCCTTTGTGCTTCTGTTGCATTGTGGGTATGTGTGACAAGCACACTCTATCAAGTGTGACATCCTCTCTTCCTAAAGCGTTACACTTGTTCTAGAGAAGCATCTTTCCTCTTTTCTCAGTCGGTCGAGCGCAGCTGGGGCTCAAGTCATTGCCGGTTAATCTGCTGCTGTTTGTTTGTGTGTGTGCAGGTGTTTTAACATGGTGTGAAATGGCTGCGTGTTCACAGCTCAACTGTGACAGTCATACAGATCTGCGCAATAGAGGAGCACTGGAAGGGCAACCAAAGACATGCCTCAGGAAGACCCTGGTCTCCCTTTAAACCAGAACTTAAGTCACAGCAGATTTCCAATAACTGCTGCTGCAGGTATCCAACAGCAGAAAGGACAATATAATGCTAATTATTACGATTACGAAAAACCCCATTTTAGGAACATAGCTTTTTGAAATGACAATTAAGCACATGTCCACTCCAGATTCAATTTAAATAGATGTTACAATATATATTCAAAATGTATTTAAGATGTATTAATACTTTGAAAATTTTACATTCACATATTTTACAATAATGAGAATTGGGGGATAAGGGCAGTTGCGAAGTGTGCTTAACCGTCATGCAAGTAAATACATTAACTAACTTTGTGGCCTGGCATCACTTTATTTTCATTAAATTAAAAAATTATACATGCTGTCTTTTAGTTGTGTGGAAAACAGGCACACCTTAAAGACTTATATAGCGAGAGAACAAGAGAATATAGACCAATTTCAGTGTTTGCAAACAGTGATTATGTGATTACAGTGAAAATGACAGTTTTCAAGTAGCAGCCTATGGAAGCCATGGAATAAAATAAAAAATAAAAAAGTAAATTTGAGTTTATATTTAAAAATTCTGACATTATTCTCGCAATTCTGAGATTATATCTCACAATTCTTATAAAAAAATTCAACTTGTCATTCTCTCTTTTCTCAGAATGATGAGTTCATATGCCACGCATCTGGCTTTTTTCCACAGAATTGGCAAACTTGCTATAGTGGAGTTAAATCGAGTTCTAAAGTCCGAACTAGGAGATATAAACTTGCATCTGCAAGAAAAAAGAAGTTAGAATTGTGAAATAAAATAGGTAAATGTTATAGGTTTAAATAGTATTTCATGCTGTAACTGTAGGGCTAATAAAATATGCCCCCTATGAAGTGAACTGCATATGTGAATATTATGTAGACCTATTGTTTGAATCAAATTTATGCTTTAAAAGTAGAGTAATCATAACAGGTTTCATCAATAGTCTGTCCTTTTAAATATCTGCGTTTAGCTTTAAATGGTGTCTTTGAAGACAGTATTCAATAAAAATTATTTACATTCCAATTCTGACATCCAAAGGCACAACAATACTTTTTTTTCTCTTATTCCATGGCTTCTACCCATTTGCCTCCACTTGTTACCAGTGTTTTTCTGCCACCACAATGCGCGCGCAGCTGCAAGTGATGTAACTGTGACGTCGGCTCCAAACTGGTCGAATCTAATGAGTCATGCATAAAAAAATACATCTCAAAATGGTCAAGTATTGGCCAATTTATTGGTCTAAGTTATGCCTCTGCTGAGGTAATTCTTGCAATATGTGACTGCCCGTATTGCTCATGAGTTGTGATGTCTCAAATTGGACAGACAAGAGTGTTCACAGATGGCATGGTTTGATTCAGCTGCTTTGGAGAAGATGCTGATGGACCGGTGGGTAATTAACCCTCCCAGAATCAAGAACTCCTCAGTAAATCAAGTTACTCACCTATTAAATGGGAGAAGCAGAATTTCAAAACAATTTTTCAATCCCCACACCATACGGGCTTGAACACACCACAGGTGAAAGCTACTTTGCTGGTCATATGAAGAAAAAACGATGCCATTTCACATGTTTATGCAAAACCCTTGCCCACAGATGCATAAACCTTTCATGAAACATAAAGGAAGATTGACAGGGGGTGGAAAGAAAGAGTGACAGAGACACTGATTGGTCTCTCGAGGAGGTCTGGGGTCAGATCAGGGCAGTGGCTAAATTTGTGCTCTCATTGGGGACATCTAGCAACTAACCAATTGCAGTAGGGCAGGGCAAGTTCCTGTTGGCATCCAACCAGGGTCAGGCCTCTGTGGACACGAATACACAAGCAGAAACGAGGAGGAGTGTTTTAGGACATCTGACAGAATACAGCTCCAATAAAAAGGACTGACAGATGGATTATGCAGGGAGAAGAGAGAGTTAAAGCAATGAAATAGAAAGAGCAGCCAGTGGCAATACATATTCAGGCCTCGGCGCTGGGCTTTGGGGCACAGTGCCTAATGTCCTGGCACACAGAGAGAAAAAGAGAAGGTTGCTCGATCGCAAATGCACTAAGCATACACAGAAAGCCAGGGAGGTCAAAAGGCCAAGTTCTGTTTGCCCATACTTTAAAACACGTCTGTAAGTGAGCAAAACTAGACGAATTCCTGTGGGCATGCATCAATTGACCAGAGTTCAACAGCAAACCATTTTAATCCACAACACCGCAATTTCGAACTCCTTGAGAAAAGACATTGAGGGCGTCAAGTAGTCTCAGCCTCGGACGAAACACCCATTGACCGCCCACAGATGACCTGATGCATACTTCGCACACACACACAAAGCAAAAGTTGGCTGAAATAACCAGTTGGCTTGCACATATGCAATTTTCAGGTGTCAGGATACACAGGTTTTTCTGCTGGAGAATATTTCCTCATTGGATTTGCCAATGTTTGCGAGGACCATGGCATCTACTCTTTGAAAGATTTCCAAGAATTACACTCGAGCCACTTAGTAGCAAGCAAATTATATCTTTTAGCAGATGGTCTTTTAGTTAGATGGTCGCTTCCCGTCTATATGGGTGGATCTTGTACAGAATAAGCTTTAAAGTGGACAGATTTTTCAAGAATATTCAAAAGTCTGGCTACATGACACTAAAAAGAGAAATATAGTGAGATCGGTCACATTTTTCTGAACAACAACAACAACATCCTCGACTTACACTCTGCCATTAATAGAGAGTTCAGTAGCACAATGTCAGAACAATAATGTAAGTAAACTGACATTCTCAAAACAGCATCAACACAATCCTCCAGTGTAAACACCATCCAATAATTCCTCTAACCTTGACACTCCTGTACAAACATACAGAGAGCAAAACACCTTTAACTGCCTGATATGATAAACAGTCAACTCTGATCGGCTTGTCTCGATTGGGTCTGTAAAAACTTCTGGTCTCTGGGCAGCTCTTGGCTGGAATAAGCTGCATTGTGGACCACACTATGTTGTTAGTCAAACGTCCGGCTACGTGAGAACACTGCAAAGTATTGTTAAACTAAATGTACAATATATGAGAGCAACAAAAACAAACAGAGTTTAATAGCAGGTTATGAAATTAACACCTGTCACCAGTTGAATGCTGATAATTTTATCACAGATGTGGCGGGTAACTTGTAAGACATCTCGAATTGACTTTTGACAGGAAATGTTGTTGCTTAGAAGCAACGACACGAACTTGAATATTACATAAAACAGACAAAAGCTATCAATGTGCATGTTGGACCAACGCATATCGCTGTTAGCTTCTGCACATTGTTGAAAAAGGTTGGTTTTTTTTTGAGTGTTTTCAAAAAGTAGTCAAATAGAATATGAATTCAAAAAAAATTTCACTTTCAAAGCCATGGACAACGTGAATACAAAGGGTACAGACGTCTTTTTAGGTTCCCATACATTAAATAGGTTTTTGTGCATTTATTTCACATGCATTTGAATTAGATATACTAAATATTCACCCACAAATGTGGTTGACCAGCCAAAAAATCATTTAAATCCTCATCCTTCTGTGGCTTTACATAGAAACAGTCAGCATTATAAATGTTGATCTATGGGAATATTAAAAGCTACAGGCCACACGGGGCTCAGAGCAACAGCAGTAAAGCTCTGTTGTGTAAATGTTCATCAAACGGTCAATAGCCAATAAAGCACATTCAGAATCAATATCTGCCAGCACGCAGTCTCATCTGTATAACTACACACAGCACGCAGTGAAAGGACCGTCAACTGAGTAGTTTATACACTACTCAACCATCCAGTGCTCTCCTGAAACTGGTTTCATATGTCCGTCAGACCTGATCACTGATCCTCAGAGAGGACCAGGTTCCTCAGCACCTCTATTTGTTCGTCGTCATGCCCAGGACTGACTCCATAAACACAAGTCATGCTGCAGAGTCCCAGTGCCTTCTCACAGCCCTCTTAATTAAAGCACTTTACTTTGTTTTTATTTCTCTTTCTCCACCTCTGCTTTTTCCCCCTCCTCTCTCGTTCATCTCGCTCTCCCCCAAGAGGAGGGCAGGATTAAATTGGATTCTAAATGATCCAGAACCGATAGAGCAATTTCTGCTGCCATATTTTCATCCTCCGTCCCACTTTAAAAACTCTCCCCATCACTGTACGATGGCTGTCGGCACTCCCCAAGCACGTCACCCCACTCCCCAATTCCAGAGGGGCGCTAAATGGAGAGAACGTTGAGTGGAGGAAAGAGATGGAGGAGAGAGGGGGAGTGCGGGGCAAAACACAAGGAGCGCCTTCTCGCCCATTAAGGTGTAGAAAATGAGAAAATTGGAAAATGAGAGACGGGGTTGTTCAACCTCTCATCTCATCTCGCTGCCACAATCTGGCACCCTTTTCTCTTTCTTTCGCTCCCGTTCCTCTGCCCATATGTGAGATTCTTCAAAAAGATGAGAGTGTGACTGCTGCTCGCACCTCAGTTTAATCTCTCCAGGCCACGCAATCTCTCGCCGCCTTTTGTGTAACATCTAATTCAGGCTTGCATAAAACCGTCAGCATCGACGCAAGGACGATTCAGGGGCGGTTTACCAGCTTAAGCTTACCTTGCCTAAAAATCACACAAGTGGGGTTTGAAGAACATTTGTTTTTTAATGTTAATGTAAATGTATTGTTTGTACACCAGTTGTACATTGTTTATAGAGAATTAGTTCACTGTATATCAAAACAAAAGCAAGCATTTAGTGTCTGTCCTATATACACATGGGCAGAGATGTGGTGAGGAGAACTTTAAAGGACCCAGAAATTAAAGTTCTGTCATCATTTACTTTATTTACAAATCTTTATTTCATCCAGCACAATAGCTCAATATCCTTGAAATCCTTTCAAATATAACAGATGTGGATGAAGACTAGATCCATTATGGTCTAAAATAACAACAACAAAAAAGCAGCATTTTAGTATAAAAATGTGTTGTGATATATTTCATGTTCTCTGCAGCCAGCCATTCGATAGCTTTGTGTAAGGAACATACTAAAATGTCATTAAAACCTTGACATTTGCTCCAGCTGTCCTTGGCAATTGATTCAGTTCACAAAAAAAGGTAATACAAAAAAAAGATTTAACAGCATTTAACAGTTAAATAGAGGGGAAGATTATCGGTTAACTGCCTAAATTTCAGTCTGTTCATCACACAAATCGATCATATGACTTCAAAACACCTGTTCATGAATCAGACTGATCCAGTTCACGAGATTAACTCACTCAATGATCAATCGCAGCATTTAACAGTTAAATAGAGGGGAAGATTATCGGTTAACTGCCTAAATTTCAGTCTGTTCATCACACAAATCGATCATATGACTTCAAAACACCTGGAATATAGTGCACGTCAGAGTCACTTTATCATACACTTTTGTTGCCTTTGCATCCTTCTTTAAGTTTGAAAACTACACTCCTCATTCATTGTAGATGCATTAAAAACAGCAATCTGTACATTATATGTTCCATAGAATAAAAAAACTATTTGGGTTCGACATGAGGGTGAGTAAACGATGGCAGAATTTTCAATTTTGAGTGAACTAATGAACTTTTGGACAGAGCAAAAACTGGGTAAATTAGAATGTTTAGTTGAAGACTAAAGTTCCTAACAAAACACACACGTTTTTGTTTCACCATTTCTTCTCTATATACCAATAAACTCCATAAACTTGCGAGCTACAAAATTCACTGACCTAACACACACATACCCACATTCATATCATATGCACATTGATTTTTTTCAATGTGTTATGTTTACATTTATAAATGCGCATTCACCAGCTTTTAACATCCACACCAGGATGTCAGAAATATTTTTCCTATGAGAATAACAAAACCACCTTACAGGAACACACACACCCCACAGCTATGAATAATACTTGGTTAAAAAAAAAAACAGAAAAGCGAAATCAGGCATAAAGTTGTTCCATCTGAGCAACTGTAATTCAGAGGCACTGAAGGCCAAACCCCCTGAAACCCACTTACACCCATCAAACAGGACAGCCTGGAGGCCATCACCCCAAAAAAATCTCAATTAAAACACTGCCGCCTGCCTCAAATTTAATAATACAAGGGGAAAAGTTCACATTGAATGTTATTACTTTCACAGAAAATACCGCACCATTCACACTTTCAGAGGCATGCCAGTCTGTGTAACTTTGTTTCGAAGGTATCCGTGTTTGTAGGATCTACAGGTCCCTAAAGGGATCAAGCGATACTGAGCTAGTCTGCAAAAACACTCTCTGATTAAATAAATGTTTCATAAAACACTGATTGTGATGAGTATGCGGGAATGAAATTTGCTTCTGCTTATGCACAGTTTATTTTAAGGAGATCAAATTATATACTAGATTAGAGGTGGACAAAAATCTCTGTATGAGCAATTTTATATCACTAAAACGATACAGTTATTTTGGCTGGCAACCAATTTAAATGGTTTATATATGTGACCCTGGACCACAAAACCAGTCTTAAGTCGCTGGGGTATATTTGTAGTAATAGCCAACAATACATTGTATGGGTCAAATTTTTTTTTTGTATTATTTTTCTTTTATGCCAAAAACATTTGGATGTTAAGTAAAGATCATGTTCCATGAAGATATTTTGTAAATTTCCTACTGTAAATATATTAAAACTTAATTTTTGATTAGTAATATGCATTGCTAAGAACTTCATTTGGACAACTTTAAAGGCGATTTTCTCAATTTTTTATTTTTTTTGGCACCCTCAGATTCCAGATTTTCAAATAGTTGTATCTCGGCCAAATGTTGTCCTATCCTAACAAACCAAACATCAATGGAAAGCTTATTTATTCAGCTTTCAGATGATGTATACATATCAATTTCGAAAAATGTATCTTTATGACTGGTTTTGTGGTCCAGGGTCTCATATAAGAAATAATAAAATAGCTGAAATGAAATTAGCTACCTTTAAACTGCTAATTCTTTTTATTTGAAACTGGATGGACACAAGACAAAAGACAGCTTATATAAGGAAGCTAATACCATGGTATAAACTATCGTACTGCTTCCTTCCCCGAATAAAAAAATTATTAATTCTTAAGAAATTGATAAAAATCTCACCCATAGCTTTGGTTTCCTCGCCCTTAGCGTTAAGGATGGAGAACTTGAACTTCGCCCGAACCTCACTCTTAGGACAGCTGACCAGGAGCAGATAGAGCGACAGATAATCTTTACTCTCTTCATCCAGACCTTTTGGATTCACTCGCAAACACCTGCTCAAAAACAAAGAATATTACATCAGCAGTTACACTTTGTCTTAAGCCCTATTCGCACGGGATTAGTATTATCTGGGGACTTTGTGTGATTTTGAAATTACCCCCCACCTCTGAATTTGTGGTGCATTCGCACGGGATAAGCGAAGACTGTGATTTTACTCGAATTTACTGACTTATCTCCCGGATGCGATGTCAAGGCTTTGAGAGTCCCGTTCTATGGTCC